TGTCCTTTTGTACTTGTAGGCCACAGCGCTGTAGCACAAGTTAACTTTGTGTCGGTGCAGTTTCTACTCCGTGCAGTGAATGCCGTGCGCTCAGCAGTACTGCAGAGTGACCTGATTAATGTAAAAACAGACAGTGCAGAGTCAGTCCGCTCCTGCAGAGACTTTGTTTGCTTTGATTATGTGCAAGCGGCTACTCCCCTTCTGCTGCTGTGACCTGTCGTGGTGTTTCTTATTGTTACTATTACTATAATTAGCTTTTTAGAATGATTAATTTATTTTCGTTTGTTTGGATAGATGTGTTTTTGCTGCAACTGGACACCTGAATATCTCCTAGGGATCAATAAAGTATCTAACTATCTAATAAAGAGAAAATTGGTGTCATTTCTGCATTTGGTAGGTGGATTATCGGATAAGTTCAACAGGTCGTTCTGAGATGATTAACAAAAAGGAGACATTGAGTTGATTAAAGATAAAGCACGATTTTTCCTTCTCCTTGCAGCACACACAAACACAGAGAGTTCTCTACGTAACCAGAGGCCCCATGTCCATCCTCTCCACCCGTAAATCTATTATTGTAAGTGTCCTCGAAAATCTCAGATGCAAGGGCTGCGATTGGTCGTCTAAAAACAGCATTTCCTCAAGTCTAAATCACTCGACCATAAGTTCTTTGAACCCTGTGGCCTGTTTGGTAAAGTGTCCACTTAGTCTCTTTCTTATTGTGGTGGAGTTTCTCATAGGAAATTAGTTGGACACAGCTATAATTTGCAGAAAGAAGGCATCAGATGAATCACGTATTAACATTTATAAAGAAAACATTAAAAAAAAGTTTCAGCAAAGTCCTTCGCCGCGATCAAAGGTAGTTTGGTTAAAAGCTTCAGAACTTGTTTTTGTGTCCAATCAACAGATAGCACAAATACAAGATAACAAACAAACTCTGAAACTGATATTACAATAAGGTTTATCTAATATAACCTATAACCGGATATTGTGATTTAAAACATACATGTAAGTAAGTCATCTTTATTTGCATAGCGCATTTCACAGACTAAGGTCACACAAAGTACTTTACAATGTTTTGAAGTACAGCTATTATACACTCCCTCTATACATGGGGACGACAGAAGCAAGACTTATTGTGTATGTTTTTAGCAGTAGGGGAAACTGGAGCACCTGGAGGAAACCGGAGCAATCGGAGGAAACCAGAGCAGACACAGGAAGAGCATGCAAACTCCACACAGGCCTGGGCATCAAAAAGTATCTATCCATCTCTCTGTATATCTGTCTAATACTGAATATGTAATAATGAGACACACTTATAAGATTATCGATTTACTATAACTTGGAACAGTCTTCCTGAAAATGTGAGACAGACTTCGACTCATTCTTCAAATCTTGGTCCAATACAGTTCTGTTTGGTTCTGCAAACAACTGGAGGCTTGTATCTTGTCTATTTTTAATGCACTGGGATTATTTATGAATTTGAATGGTAACTTGTGTGTGGGTGGTGCGCAGTGGTTTGTAGAGCATTGGCCTTTGAGCCTGAAGGTTGTGGGTTCGAGCCCACCCCAAGACCTTCTTCACGACTCCTACTGATGTCTGCTGTTGTGGTGTCCTTGGGCAAGACAATTGATCCCACTTTGCCTGAAGACCCCACTGCAAGATCAAGGCTCCTGTGGACTCAGCACCTGTAGGAGGACCAGTGAGGGGCTGGTGCAGCTCTGACTGCCACCCCCCCAACCCAGAAATGGATTAAGGGGAAGAAAATGGATGGATGGATGGAACGTGTGTGATTTTGATGCACTTGATATTGTATTGTCCAGCACTTTGAGTTGCCTTGTACAGTACATAAACTGTGCTATACAAATAAAATCGCCTCATAGCAGACAGATCTACGTCATAAAAATTAGCCACATTTTTGCATAACATACTGTAGCACTTGTATAAAAAAACAATATTATTAATACAGTGCTTTATTATACAATGATTAGATTTTGACCGTAACAGAAGTCCACACCTCCCGCTGGCCTCAAAGGGAGTCTTGACTTCATTTTCTCTTTCGGACCAGTATTCGGTCAAGTTCACATAAACACCCTGAGGGGGAGAATCCAATGTAGGGATGCGGTGGAAATAGACTCCCCTCGGACATGATCCATGCAGCAGCCTCCGGGGCGCTGCTCCCAGGGCGCTCCCAGATCCTCTCAATAGTTTTTCAAAGGTTTAGGATTTTTTGTTTTTAACAATTTTCACACGTTTGATGAAGATGATGGATTTTCCCTACTGAATACATCACTGTATATGGAACAAACAAATGTGCCTGGATCTAGTCATCTGTTCGAATAATTTCCATCAGAATCAGAATCAATAATTAGAATCAATTTATTTCCATTTGCAGAAAAAAACTACATTGGGATACAAACAGGAGACACCGGGTAACCACAAAGCAAACACAACAGGCAAAAAGATTAAAAATAGCGAGACAATTACTATGAAACTACGAAGGAGCTACTAGGTTCAAGGTTCAAGGCTCAGCAGTGTGGCAGAAACACATCCATCCACACAAACAAAAGTAAATACATAAGGTGTGTAGTACGGTCTACTAGCCGGGGTCGTGCTTGTGTGTGTGTGTGTGTGTGTGTGTGTGTGCGCGTGCGTGTGCTCTCCTCCATCCCCTCTGTGACCAGGACCAGGCGTGTCCTGGTCCTGGTCTTACTCCTGGTTCAGCCTCTTACACCTGCAGCCCATCATCCTCATCATCTTCTCCTCTACAGTTTAAAAACCAGGTTCCCCTTTCACCAGGTGCCAATTTGTCAGAAAAACTTTCACAGTATTACTCCTTGGCTTATTCCTGAAATGTAAGATTTGCTTGTTAATTGTTTCCCCTTTTTGATTCAGTTTCATTTTTGGCCCAGATTCTGCCTTCCTCCTGTTTTTTTGCCCTGCCTCAGCCTCCAGCCCTGCCCAGTCCAGCCACTCGAGTTACCTTTTGTACATTCTAATAAACACTTGCTTAATTATTGTCTGCACATTTTGATTCGCCCGTCATCACAACAGCAGAAGCAACAAAGGGTCTCTTCACATGTAAAACTTATAAGAGAAAATGTATGTCTTATGAAATGAAATCCCAAAGCATTTTGTAAACATTGTACCCATCCACACATCCTTACAGCTTCAGTTTGGAAACTCCAGGTCCTTCTCTGGTCTCTTAGTGGTCTTACACAAAGTAATATAACTTGTGAAATATGTACATTTGTTACAACATACAGTACATGCTACAGATTTTTTTTTTTTTATTATTCACAGCAAAACCACATTGGAATACATTTGCAAGAGACCAAAAGGGACTAGAGACACACCAACGAGTAACCATACAGAGACCACAGAGAGACCAGAGGGAGACCAGAGAGAGACCAGAGAGAGGGACCAGAGAGGGTCTAGAGAGGGACCAGAGAGAAACCATTGAGGGACCACAGAGAGACCAGAGAAAGACCAGAGAGAGACCAGAGACTGAAAAGAGAGAGACCAGAGAGGGACTAGAGAGAGACCAGAGACACCAGAGAGGGACCAGAGAGAGACCAGAGAGAGAGAACAGAGAGACACCAGAGAGAGAACAGCGAGGGATCAGAGAGAGACCAGAGCGAGACTAGAGAGAGACCAGAGTGAGACCAGAGTGAGAGACTAGTTATACAGGACATCATTACAGTGACTGTTGGTTTATCAGTCTGTCTGGTTCAGGGTGAGTTTGCGGGTCACTGTACGTCCCTGTGTGCAGTTGATGGTGCAGGGCAGAGATATGCCGCCCACCTTGCAATTGTACAACTCTCCATGAATAAAGTTCTCCAGGAATCTGAAAGAGGATGGTGAGCTGTGAGACCAGAGAGAGACAAGAGAGAGGCCAGAGAGAGAGAGAGTAGAGAGACCAGAGAGAGACCAGAGAGAGACCAGAGAGAGAGACCTGAGAGAGACCAGAGAGAGACCTGAGAGAGAGACCAGAGAAGGACCAGAGAGAGACCAGTGAGAGACCTGAGAGAGATACCAGAGAGAGACAAGAGAGAGGCCTGAGAGAGGGAGAGCAGAGATAGAGCAGAGAGAGACCAGAGAGAGACTAAAGAGAGACAAGAGAGAGGCCTGAAAGAGAGAGAGCAGAGAGAGACCAGAGAGAGAGGCCAGAGTGAAGCCAGAGAGAGACTAGAGACAGACATGGGAGAGAGAGAGAGACCAGAAAAAGGCCATAGAAAGACCAGTGAGAGGCCAGTGAGAGACCAGAAAGAGTCCAGAGAGAGACCAGAGAGAGACCAGAGAGAGAGACCTGAGAGAGACCAGAGAGAGACCTGAGAGAGAGACCAGAGAAGGACCAGAGAGAGACCAGTGAGAGACCTGAGAGAGATACCAGAGAGAGACAAGAGAGAGGCCTGAGAGAGGGAGAGCAGAGATAGAGCAGAGAGAGACCAGAGAGAGAGACCTGAGAGAGACAAGAGAGAGGCCTGAGAGAGGGAGAGCAGAGATAGAGCAGAGAGAGACCAGAGAGAGACCAGAGAGAGAGGCCAGAGTGAAGCCAGAGAGAGACTAGAGACAGACATGGGAGAGAGAGAGAGACCAGAAAAAGGCCATAGAAAGACCAGAGAGAGACCAGAGAGAGACCAGAGAGAGGCCAGAGAGAGACTAGAGAGGGACAACAGAGAGAACAAAGTGAGAGACCAGAGAGAGACCTCTGAAACTACTGCTGTTGTGATTTAGGGCTGTACACAAATACATTGAATTCATGTTAATCAAAACATGATGTCAGAATCAGAATTATCTTTCTTGCTATTGTTTCAATAGATAGAAATTGATACAGGTTAAATAAAAATAAATACAAATAAAATTGGTACTCCAATTTTAACGATCCCTTGTTGAGCACATAGCGAACATAAATGTCATAAAAGCACCGTACACCGTAGATTACACGTTCTGTCTGTGCAGTTATATACATATCTACCTCCAGAAAGCAAACAAAGAGGTCAATGCGACGCCACGGCCATTGGCACCTGCAGAATTGTCCAATCAGACGCTGCGATGTGGTGCTGTTTATGATGGGAACATGCAGAGGAGATCGCAGTGGGGTCTCGGGGCTGAGTCACCGCCGTCGCCCACTCTTCGCCGGGTTCCAGGGCGTAATGACCGCTCCGAGCCCATTACCTTCAGCGCTCAGAGCAGAGGAAGAGGAGGAGGAGGAAGAGAAGGAAGAGGAGATGAAAGACCTGGATCGATGCTCGGGCGAGGAGAACAAACAACTCCACGCTCGGTCACTTTTGCGGTTTGTTGTAAGTTCTGACCTTATTCCATGATAGAGACATATTTACAGATGAACCTGTCAATGTTCCTGCTGTAGTTATCTGTAGTTCATCCAGAGTGATCATGGGCCTCTTGGCTGCATCTCTGATCAGTCTTCTACTTGTTTGAGATGAAAATTTGGAGGGACGGCCGGGTCTTGGTAGATTTGCAGTGGTCGGATACTCCTTCCGTTTCAATATAACTGCTTGCACAGTGCTCCTTGAGATGTTTAAAGCTTGGGAAATCTTTTTGTATCCAAATCCGGCTTTAAACTTCTCCACAACAGTATCTCGGACCTGCCTGGTGTGTCCCTTTGTCTTCATGGTTCTCTCTGCGCTTTAAACAGAACCCTGAGACTATCAAAGAGCAGGTGCATTTATACGGAGACTTGATTACACACAGGTGCATTCTATTTATCATCATCAGTCATTTAGGACAACATTGGATCATTCAAAGATCCTCACTGAACTTCTGGACTGAGTTTGCTGCACTGAAAGTAAAGGGGCCGAATAATATTGCACGCCCCACTTTTCAGTTTTTTATTTGTTAAAAAAGTTTAAATTATCCAATAAATTTTGTTCCACTTCACGATTGTGTCCCACTTGTTGTTGATTCATGACAAAAAAATTAAATTTTATATCTTTATTTTTGAAGCCTAAAATGTGGCGAAATGTTGAAAGGTTCAAGGGGGCCAAATACTTTCGCAAGTATATATATATATATATATATATATATATATATATATATATATATATATATATATATATATATATATATATATATATATATATATATATATATATATATATAGCAGCTGGATAGCTCAGTTGGTAGGGCACAGGACTGGGACCTGGGAGGCCAGGGTTCGAATCCCACCGGGAGCACATTAACACCAACATCCAGTGAGGGTCCTTGGGCAAGACCCTTAATGCTACTGCCTAACTCATAACCATGAAGGTACAAATAAGCAATGAGATGCCGGATCAGCCGTCGCCCGGCCAAACAAGGTCTGCGTCAGGTGCTGGGGAACCAGAGCACCTTGATGAAAAGTGGGCTACTGGAACAAGGCGAAAGTGGACGAGATGATGAACCAGCTGCTGAGAGATGGGACTCACCCAGAATGGCTAACCGAAGGGCGAACGGTCCTGATCATGAAGGACCCTGTCAAGGGTGCAGTCCCCTCCAACTACCGGCCAATAACCTGTCTCTCCACAACATGGAAGCTCATGTCAGGCATCATTGCGGCTAAGATAAGTGGGCATATGGAACAATTCATGAGCACAGCACAGAAGGGCATTGGTAGGGACACCAGAGGAGCCAAACACCAGCTCCTGGTTGACAGAACAGTCGCCCAAGACTGCCGGTCACGACACACCAACCTGTGCACAGCCTGGATTGATTACCAGAAAGCCTACGACTCAATGCCACACACATGGATCATGGAATGCTTGAAGTTGTACAATATCAACAGGGCTCTAAGGGACTTCGTTGCAAACTCGATGGGAATGTGGAAGACTACCCTTGAGGCAAATGGCAAGCCGCTCGCACAAGTGACCATCAAATGTGGTATCTACCAAGGAGATGCTCTGTCCCCACTACTGTTCTGCATAGGCCTCAACCCTCTAAGCCAAGTAATTGACCAGACTGGCTATGGATACCGCCTCAGGAACGGAGCAAAGATCAGTCACCTCCTCTACATGGATGACATCAAGCTGTACGCCAAGAGCGAGAGAGACATCGACTCTCTGATCCAAACAACCAGGATCTACAGCCATGACATCGGGATGTCATTCGGGCTCGAGAAATGTAGCAGGATGGTGACTCGGAGAGGCAAGGTAGTCCACACAGAAGGGATCTCACTCCCAGAGGGAACAATAGCAGACGTTGAGGACAGTTACAAGTATCTCGGTATACCACAGGCAAATGGCAACCTCGAACAGGTGACGAGGAAAGCGGCAACTGCCAAATACCTCCAGCGAGTAAGGCAGGTCCTAAGAAGCCGGCTCAATGGCAAGAACAAGGCCCGGGCAATTAACAGCTACGCCCTGCCAGTGATCAGATACCCTGCAGGAATAATCAGGTGGCCAAAGGAAGAGATTCAGACCACGGATGTTAAAACTCGAAAGCTCCTTACCATGCATGGCGGGTTCCATCCCAAATCCAGCACCCTGAGACTGTACGTAAGCCGTAAAGAAGGAGGCCGAGGACTAGTGAGTGTGAGAGCCACTGTCCAGGACGAAACATCCAAACTCCATAACTACATCATGGAGAAGGCCAAAACGGATGACGTACTCAGTGAATGTCTCAGGCAGTGGCGAGATGAGGAGGTGCTGGAGGAGAGCCCATCATGGGAGAACAAGCCCCTACACGGCATGTACCACCGGAGCATAACAGAAGTGGCTGATCTCAAGAAGTCCTACCAATGGCTAGAAAGGGCTGGCCTACAGGACAGCACAGAGGCACTCATCATGGCTGCACAGGAACAGGCACTGAGCACCAGAGCGATAGAGGCCCAGATATACCACACCAGACAAGACCCAAGGTGTCGGTTGTGCAAAGAGGCACCTGAGACGATCCAACACATAACTGCAGGGTGCAAGATGCTGGCAGGGAAGGCCTACATGGAACGCCATAACCAAGTGGCTGGCATAGTGTACAGAAACATCTGTGGAGAGTATGGGCTGGAAACCCCAAGGTCTAAGTGGGAAACTCCTCCAAAGGTGGTGGAAAATGAGCGTGCAAAGATCCTGTGGGACTTCCAGATACAGACCGACCGAATGGTAATGGCAAACCAACCTGACATCGTGGTGGTAGACAAAGGGCAGAGGACAGCCGTGGTGGTGGACGTGGCAATTCCAAGCGATGGTAACATCCGGAAAAAAGAACATGAAAAGCTTGAGAAATACCAAGGTCTCAGAGAGGAGCTGGAGAGGGCCTGGAGGGTAAAGGTGACAGTAGTGCCCGTGGTGATCGGTGCACTCGGGGCAGTGACCCCGAAGCTAGATGAGTGGTTACAGCGGATCCCCGGAACAACCTCGGACATCTCGGTCCAGAAATGTGCAGTGCTAGGAACAGCAAAGATACTGCGCAGAACCCTCAAGCTCCCTGGCCTCTGGTAGAGGACCCGAGCTTAGAGAGGGATAACCGCCCGCGGAGGGCCAAAGGTGAGTGGACAATTTTTTTTTTTTTATATATATACAGAAGACTAATCCAATTCACCTCAGAGCTGTGTAATGTAAGTAAGTTGTAGTAATATGTGTCTATATAGCACCTTTCACAGACCAGAGTCACAAAGCGCTTTACAATTGTTGTGGGCATTTGTCTGTCACTCTAGGTCACCTACAGGAGCAGGTCACCTACAGGAAGCACATGTCAGACCTTTGAACATGTTTTTTAGTGATGGGGAAACCGGAGCGTCTGGAGGAAACCTACAGAGACATGAGGAGAACATGCACACTCCACAAAGAGAGGTCTAGAGGTGGAATCAAACCCAGAACCTTCTTGTAGCTTAGAAGAGTTTTTCACTATCTCTAAAAGTTCAGATTAGAACATTACAGTAAAAATCCTTAATATTTAGATAGATAGCAACATCCAGCAGGAAATCCAAAAGTTTTATGAATTTCTCTCTAAAGTTATAAAGACATTTCAAACTTGCACCTAAAGTAGAATAGTGAATATATATGTTTTATTTTATGCATCTGAGTGCTCTATATTCAGACCTTTCCCTCCGTCTGCTAGCGTGTGCGTGTGGTTAGCCGTGTAAAACATTAATCAGGGCCAGTGCTCCTTATTAGCTGCAAATCATTTGTGTTAAATTATGCAGAGTCCGACCGCTTCTCTGTCTGCGGCGCCCACGGAGGACGCACGCTCCCATCCATTTGTTTTTTACTCTTTCACCGGAGGCGCTTTCAATTCTCATTCTTCAGCTGTCTTAGTTCTTTTCAGAATCCGACAAGGCAAAGTGGAAAACAAATACTTATTTCAATTTGATAAAAAGTCTCAAAGCATTAGATTGGAAACAGGAGATGTCAAGGTATTTCTCAGTGTAGTCTAGTGTCTGTCGTGAGGTTTAATTCCATTCAATTTATTTTTGTGTTTCCCTAATCACAACAGGTCTTCTCAATGTTGCTGATTCTTCAAAAACAGATCAGAAAAACACAGGAAATGTAATGTAATGTATGTAATCTTTATTTATATACCGCCTTTTCACTGCACATCGGAGTCTCAAAGCGGTTTACAATAGTTATTTTTTTGGGAGTGGGGGTGCCAGTACAGGAGGCACATGCCAGACCTATTGTACATATTTTTAGTGGTAGGGGAAACCGGAGTACCCAGAGGAAACCTACGCAGACACGGGGAGAACATGCAAACTCCACTCAGAAAGGCCTTGGTCCAACCGGGATTCGAACCCAGGACCTTCTTGCTGAGAGGCGAGAGTGCTATCCACTCAGCCACCGTGCCGCCCAAAAACACAGGAAATGCAATAACAAGAAATACATAGGAGTCATTGGTGCATGGGGAGCGGGATGACCACTGTCCAGAAATGTTGTAGATCGAGGACTGAGGCTGTAGATCCAAGACTGCTGCTGTAGACCCAGGACTGAGGCTGTAGATCCAAGACTGCTGCTGTAGACCCAGGACTGAGGCTGTAGATCCAGGACTGAGGCTGTAGATCCAGGACTGATGCTGTAGACCCAGGACTGAGGCTGTAGATCCAGGACTGCTGCTGTAGACCCAGGACTGAGGCTGTAGATCCAAGACTGCTGCTGTAGACCCAGGACTGAGGCTGTAGATCCAGGACTGATGCTGTAGACCCAGGACTGAGGCTGTAGATCCAGGACTCAGGCTATAGATCCAGAACCGAGGCTGTAGATCCAGGACTCAGGCTATAGATCCAGAACCGAGGCTGTAGATCCAGGACTAATGCTGTAGACCCAGGACTGATGCTGTAGACCCAGGACTGATGCTGTAGACCCAGGACTTATGCTGTAGATCAGTGTTTTTCAACCTTTTT